AAAACCCCTTCAAAAATGTGGGGGAGATTCACAAAGAGTGGACTGCAGCTGGAGTGAGTGCTTCAAGAACCACCACACACAGACGTATGAAAGACATGGGTTTCTGCTGTCGCATTCCTTGTGTCAAGCCACTCTTGAACCACAGACAGCGTCAGAAGCGTCTTGCCTGGGCTAAAGAGAAACAGGACTGGACTGCTGGTGAGTGGTCCAAAGTCATGTTCTCTGATGAAAGTAAATTTTGCATTTCCTTTGGAAATCAAGGTCCCGGAGTCTGGAGGAAAAGAAGAGAGGCACTTCATCCACGTTGCTTGAAGTCCAGTGTAAAGTTTCCACAGTCAGTGATGGTTTGGGGTGCCATGTCATCTGCTGGTGTTGGTCCATTGTGTTTTCTGAGGTCCAGGGTCAACGCAGCCACATACCAGGAAGTTTTAGAGCACTTCATGCTTCCTGCAGCTGACCAACTTTTTGGAGATGCAGATTTCATTTTCCAACAGGACTTGGCACCTGCACACAGTGCCAAAGCTACCAGTACCTGGTTGAAGGACCATGGTATCCCTGTTCTTAATTGGCCAGCAAACTCTCCTGACCTTAACCCCATAGAAAATCTATGGGGTATTGTGAAGAAGAAGATGCAATACACCAGACCCAACAATTCAGAAGAGCTAAAAGCCACTATTAGAGCAACCTGGGCTATCATAACACCTGAGCAGTGCCACAGACTGATCGACTCCATGCCACGCCGCATTGCTGCAGTAATACAGGCCAAAGGAGGCCCAACTAAATACTGAGTGCTGTACATGCTCATACTTTTCATGTTCATACTTTTCAGTTGGCCAACATTTCTATAAATCCTTTGTTTTTATTGGTCTTCAGTAATATTCTAATTTTCTGATATGATGAATTTGGGATTTTCATTTGTTGTCATTTGTAATCATCAAAATTAAACAAAATAAACATCTGAAATATATGAGTTTGTATGTAATGTATGAATATAATATACAAGTTTCACTTTTTAAATGGAATTACTGAAATCAATCTACTTTTTCATGATATTCTAATTTTATGACCAGCACCTGTATCCGGAAGCCAAACGAGTAGAAGAGGAATATGAAGCTCACTAGAGAGAAATGCGCTGCCTTGGCTATTTGTGCAATTTTGTGCTGAAAGCCCTAAAAAGAAAAGGAGACGACGTATTTGGACGAAGACATGGCTGAGCAAACGTGGCTACTACGGTCTGTCAATTTTACAGAAAGAACTTCATTTTCCACGCGTGCTTCTGTGTTTTCGTCTAACAGGAAGAAGAAGAATCCTTGTTTGCGCACTGACCGATTTGCCCACGAACACCATACAACGGCCGAGTGAATTTCAAACATTCTAAATTTTCTACTGACCTCATGATTCCTGATCAGAAGGTGATCGTGTGTGGCTGTTCGCCCCTCGTTACCACCTGTACACTATACAACACACTATCAGGCTGAAAGTCGGCCCGATCTAAAAATTCCTGCACGACTGAAGAATCGGCCCGAAAAGGGTAAAAAAATCGTACAGTGTATACCTGGCTTTAAAATCAGTCAGATTAGGAAGCAATCCTCTTTAATCGTATGCCTACAGGCTGCTGTCATGTTGAATCCATTTCAGTTTCCTAGCAGAAGGCTAAAGGGTTTTTGGGTCTTATTGATTAGTTGTCATCATCCCCTGTATACTAGCAACCTGAAGCAGCTTTGAAGCATGCTGCTGCTACTAACGTGCTTCAGAATGGGTGTGACGTTAATTTATGCTGCCTTCACCATGTTTTTAACCACCTAAAGTCAAACTGGGATAGTTTTCCTTGGAAGAACAGCCTTCTGTTTTGACTGTCCACTTCCTCGGACATCTATGAACATAATGAAGGATTGTCGTCACATTTACTATACAGCCGGAACTTGGCAGAAACCTCTGGATTGGTCAGACTCAAGGCCTCTTTGAGATCATGTAAAGCCAATGCATGTCCATTTTCTTGTTGTTTTCCCTTCTAGGGTTAGTCTCAAAAGGAATGAAAGATTTTTTCCACTTAGCTGATTGGTCCTTCCTGTTTTTCCAAAAAGGCGATGGCAAAAGTAAATAACCTAGTCCTTCTTTTCACTGTAGACAAGCCATGATCTGCTTCTCTTTTCTCCATTTTTCATCTGGATGAAATAATAGCTGCATGAATCATGACAGCAGACAAGATAGAGAAGAGCAGGAGGCGGGGTTACCAATCTACTCGCTCTTGAGAGCAGAGTTCGCTGCGTTTAGATGTTGTCGCTAAAGTCTACAGCAGCAGACAGTAGTCACTAGATTTGCCGTTAGGCGCTTTTTTGTAATCAAAGTGCTAGAGGGGTCTGAAAAGTTGCTAAATAAAGCGACAAAAGCGCTAAGTTGGCAACACTGCTCTTTGCATCGTTTGTTTTCAAATGGTTTGCTGTTGCCTGTTTGGACCTTTTTGAACATGTGCAGCAAATGGACTGATCCAATATGGTGGACACTGAAGGGGGGGCTGAGACACACTTATTATAAGCGTTCTGATGGCATTTTAGAGAAAGTAAAAAAAAAAAAAAAAAAAACATAATTAATGTGCACAAATAAGAAAAAGTTGTATTAACCATACATGTAAACAGACTTTTATGGGGCCCTAGGCAACTGCCTAGTATTGCCAAATGGTAAATCCCCCTCGTGTTTTATTTATCAATATCAGCATAAAGAATTGGCAGCACATCATTTCGACTGCTGTCAGATAATCAGTATCAACATTGGCCTAAAAAAATCAGAATTGCTCCATCTCTAACTTTAATAGCTTCAAAATATTCTCCTACCCTCAGATATTTAACGAACATAAAAAAGGCTGTTATTGGGTTCAATCAGAAGAACGTTAATCTTTGCAGGATTCCTTTCCATTTTATATTTTTGCTTAGATAGGTTGAGCTCTATACTAAACATCCATTTTGTACAGAAATGTGTTTTATTTCAACATAAAAACCTGGATCTGAGTAGAGGTGTGTAAACTTTTCAGGCCCCACTGTAGGTCCAGCCTGTTGGATCTTTAATTGTTCTGTTCAGCTCTTAGACGTGCAGTTATGGCTGTTTGTCGACGTGTGCTGCATTAAGAAGAGATCCTGCCGGATAACTTCCACACAATCAGAAAAATAACGTCTGGGTCTGGATCTAATGAAAGCTGTGCTTCCTTCATCTCAGCTCAGGCTGTTGTTTTTTCCTGCGCGGACCTGCAGACGCGACCTCTTCCTCTCAAGCCAACAAGCTCTTTATTTCCCCTGTCGCTATTCCAATAAGATGCCTCTCCACGCGGCCCTGTTTCTAATAACCTCAGTTAGCCTGGGAGACAACAACCCGGCATCCTTCGAACCTTCGATTTTTACGCTCCGTCTTCCTGCTCTGTGGGTGAAATGGAGGAGGACTGAAACCCAAACAGACGGGAGGTTAACGGCACACAGAACTGAACCTGGACTTGGCACACATCACTGACTGACGACATCTTCTACTCTTATAATACTGGAACGGCTCTCCCTGGTTAAGGCGACTGGTGAACTTCTGTAGAAAATAATGCTGCCTTTTTTTTTTTTTTTCTTTTTTGCAGACCGTAAACGAGGCTTTCAGGGAGGGAGGGGGGCAGTTGAAGAGACTGACAACACTGTGCCATGTAAACGGCTCGACTATGTGAATGTCAAGAACGAACTTTGGCATCTATGCACGGTTTTGGCCCATTGCGCGACAACACTCACGACTATTGATCTCAAAAGAAAAAGGAGTTGAGCAGCAGATTCTGAGCGTCCCGCCTCGACGGCGGCCGTCCAATGTGTGCTTTTTTCCTAAGCAGACCGACACTGTCGAGCCGGTCTTGCCCTGTGCTTACATCATGAAAGCATTCGCTCCTCAGAGGTGATAAACAGTAATGATTCTCCCCATCAGATGCAAACCGCTCAAAGGTTTTTCAACTTAACAATAAGTTGAGGAGTTTGAAGAAATAAGGCTCAGCGTACGACTCTCGCTTTAATATGTCGAGCTGGGATGGAGAAAAAGAAAACATGCCTGACCCTGCGAGATACTAATAAAACGAGAGGAGTGCAAAGATTTGTGGTAAGGCTCTGATGATTGAATCGGCTGTACGGCGGCTAAAAAACGCTACGCTGATTGTTTGCGTGCGCGCGCCGGCCGGCGGTTCCTGAGGAGGCGTTCGCGCTCAGGGGCTCTCATGTACATTTAAAAAAAGTAAACTGTGAGGTCTGCACAGAAGTGTTTGCGTGTCCATGTGTGCATATGTGTGTATAGATATATTTATATATATATATTTATATGACACATGGGCACTTTTTTTACATCTTTACAAAGAAAAAAAAAAGCAAAACATGACATTGTCAGGCAACAAGACCACAGAATAGCAAGTTAACAAACTCTTTTTTTTCTTTAAATCTATACTTTAAATATGAGGGATCAATTCAAAACACTTATAATAAAATACCCATGTTATCAAATTATTTCACAAGAAATACACTGACGCGCTAGGCAGGAAGTACCTTCAGAATTTGGCACTAAACTCCACTGATCAGGTCTTTTTTTTCCTTATAAGACATTTTGTTGAACAACAAAACACATCTAAATATTGTTTCCCACGAGAGAAATAAAATAATAATGACATTGATGCTTTACGAGCTGACATTTTATATATATATATATATATATATATATATATTTATAGATATATTTGTATTTATATATATATATTTTTGAGGAATTTTATATAGCTAATTAACCAACAACAGATTTAGCAAATAGGGACTCCTTAAAAAAAAAAAAACATAACTATTATAGTAGAATGAAAGGCTTTGTCTATTGTTCAAGTAAACTGATTTTTTTTTAAAGTCTTCTCTTGAGAAAACATGAGACATTTAAGACCGTCAGACTGGTGATGAAACCACAACTAAACTCACAAGAAGCACCGACGTTAACGTGGGTTACAGGTATCGTAGTTTTTTTTTTTTTTCCTCTATACATTTAAACAGTAGAAAATATAGGTAATTTCATCATGTGCATTTAAAACCACGGATTGTCTATCTGTGAGTCAGTTCAGCAAAAGGTGACACGAGTAGGTAGCATTTCTCCCCCCCAAACAGGGCAAATGTCTTTTTTATTTTTATTTTTTTACCTTTAAACTACTCTAGAAAAAAGTGGTTCTATATATAGACTTTGAATGAGAAACTGAGCCACTTAAAATGGCCTTATCAAAAAACTTTACACTGCCTGAAAAATGTAAAAACCATTAGAGAGCTCTGAGAGAGAGTCTAATATTGGATCAGACAGTTTTTATTCAAAACTGTGTGGAAGTAGTCTTATTTCTCAGAGAAACTGCTGCCAACTGCTTCTGGCGCCGTTTTCTTTTTCTGTTTCCGCCGGCGACCAGAAGCAAGATGACGCAGCAATTCCTGTCAAGTTTACCATAAAATGAAGAAAATCGCATAAAGAAGAAAAACAAAGGAAAGAAACTGAATGGAAATCACTTTACCACAGGTTTTCTTTTTTTTTTACTTAAAAAAAAAAAGATTTGTTCAATAAAAATCTCAGTCTTTTGAGTTTAATTTTATACGTATGCAGCTTTATATCTTTTTCACATTTGTTTATTTTCTCCCTCCCTGAAACCCGCCCAGAAAAACACATCCAAATGAGGTCACATGCAAAAAAATAAAAAATAAAATAAAAACACAAAAGTGAAAACAATTACTTATATTTAAAAGTCCAAAAAAGCTAAAAGCTTAAAAGATCAGTAGGCAGCGGTGGAGGAGGAGGAGAACCAGGTTATGATCAGGTGAGCTCGGAAAAGACATCAGAGAAAACAATGACGGGGTAGGAGGAAGAGGACCGTGACACTTTTTTTTTTTTGTTTTTGTTTGTTTAAAGTTTTTTTTGTTTTGTTTGTTTTTTTGGACGCCACGAAGACATGCTAGGCAAACGATGAACTAACAGGCATGGAGATGGGTTGTTCTAAAAGGGGGAAAGAAAAAACGGGAGAGGAGATAGTTACACACAGAGAGCCAGAGCAACACACCACAACAGCATCATCTTCAAAAAAAAAAATTAATGAAAAACAACAACAAACATCCAACAAACAATAATGCAAACTGGTAGAACGGCAACACGACACACTGGTTTGATTAGCATTTCTCAAAAACCATTAAACTGACATTAATCTTATAGATCTATAGATACGAGCAACATTCACTCATCGACGTATACACAGGAAACATGGAGCACCCAAAGCTAATCCATCTGCGCCAAGATGGATGTCCACGTTTGGGGGAGGGTTCTTTTTTTTTTTAAAGAGTGGGGGTTACAAATTCCATGTTTTAACCATTTAATTACTAATTTCATTTTATTTATTTTTTTTACATACGAGAGGGGGGGGACAAACGAACAAAAGACTTTTTAAAACAACTTCAACAGAATTGAAGTTAGAAACGGGACAAATGAAGAAAAAAGTGGGGGAAATAAAGATGGATGAGCGTCACAGAGGCCGACACGATGGGGCGGCTACGACTGACCGGCAGCAGAACTGGTTTCTGCACTAAAAACATCTGATAAACGGATCAAAAGAAGGAGAAAACAGCGGAGAGGGTCGAGTCGAACGCCGTTTACTTTATAGGAGTCCAATAACTTACGATAGGCAATAAATAAAATCATTTTTTTTATTCGTCTGAGGCAGTAAAAATGTTGTATAAAAATAGAGCTGCTTTTTTTACAAATAAAATTTACAGGCCTGTGGCTTTACTGTACTTTGAGTGATCATTTTTAATCTGTTGACAAACCTCAAGTATTTTCAGTCCCCAGCCCCTTAACCCAGAAACTCCTCCTTTCTTCTTCTAGTACCTTTATCTCTCCACAAATTCTAGGTTTTATATTTCTTTTTTTTTTAATTTACATGCTGTTATATCATTTTCACATAAGAGACCAATGTGATCCGACCCAGAAAAGTAAGAACTATTTTTTTTTAACTTGTGAAATAAGAAAAATCTGTATTTGTACATTTCGAGATAATGTTTAGCTGGATTTAGTATATTTATTTTCATCTTCTTGTGGTGGAGTTTAACTTTACTGCAGGCAAACTTTACAGTTAAGAGGCCACGAATGTTTTTGCAGCCTTTTGCTCCCGGGTTGCCAGCAGGCGTCGAGCAGCGGCGGCCTGCAACCAACACCGCGGAGGTCAAAGGGCGAATGTGCATATTGGCGAGCGCGTTTAAAAGAAAAATCTGAAAAATGAACCCATCATCAGCCTTCGGGTTCAAAACAAGACACTAAAAAATAACTGAAATAAAAACGGTAGCATGGCTCCTTTGTTTAAATCCTGACTTTGTCTCAAACTAGTCTGTAAAAATGTATAAATTATCCTCTTAACAGAAAAAAACGAACGTTTAAATAAACTTTTTTTTTTTTTAAAGAGAAACTTCCTTCCATTGTAAAAAGAAAGAAAAATAGATTGCACAAAGTAATGGTGGAAATGGAAGTGTTCATGTGTGTCAAAAACTGGAATAAATAAATAATAAATTGAAGGCTTACATAAAAATCTTCAAAAAAAAACATGATTAAAAAAACAAGAATAATAAAAAGTGCGTCTCCCTCAGGTGGTTGTAGATCATCTCCTCCTACCTCCCACAATCCCTCTTTTCAACCCAGCCCTCCCCCGTGCAGAGGCCATGGCTCGGTTGAACTTGTTTTGTTTTTTTTAAACCATCACTTTTGTTCTTTTTTTTTTAAATGGGGGGAGGGGGACTTACCCTAGCAGTGCTAACTGGGGGAGCAGATAGACCTAGTGCTAAGATCAGTAAGGTTTGCTGTCGTTCTTGGAACGCTTCAGCTGCACCTTCAGCCGCTTCATGCCGATCTGGAAGCCGTTCATGGCCTGAATGGCTGCCTGAGCCGACACCGGATTGTCGTAGCTGACGAAGCCTGCAGGGACAATGTGCCACATGTCAAAGACTGAACATTAATCTTCTGTTCACATAGATAATAAAGGCCAAGAGTTTGCAAAAAAATTTGAAAATTACTCTTTCTCTAAGGGTGAATAACATCATAATGGTAACTCTCTGAATAAGGTCTTTACAGCAGTAGAGGTTAGCGGCGTTCATCTTTATTTATGAAGAATCGCTCAAAGCAATAATTTATGAATAAAAACTGGATGTTTGTGCCTGAAATATGCTGATTTTGATACCACCATTCACCTTTTCCATTTCAGTGAGTTTAGACTGATCTTCTCCTAAAACAGTTTTCTAAAATTTTTTCTTTGGAAGTGAGGAAATGGAAATAGGCTGCTTGTTCTAGAACCATACTTCTATGTCAGCTAAACTCAAGAACTCGCTTCTGAGGTCCTCAAAAAGCTTCAGAAATTAAAATGACTGAATACAAAAATGTCCAAAAGTAGATAAAGTTTTGATAGAAATGGCTAGCTAACTTCTCTTGTCAGTTAGCCTAATTTAATGAAAGCTAAAACCTAGGATGGTTACAAGAATAACTTGAATCTGACAAATGTAATAATGAATAAAAATTCACTGAAAATAAACAAATGAAAGTTAGACACTAATTATATGCTGTCTATATGTATATTTGATCAAGAAACAAAGTAAAACAACAGTTTTAGCCTGTTTGGCTAACCTTGACATTTATCTAGCACTAAAAAGATTAATGTTTACCAGCCTGGGAGGTAACAATAACTGCATTTGATAATAACCTCAGTTTTCTATGTGAAGAGCTAATTAGAGCTAAACACCTTAACTAGCTAGTTAATAGAGATCTTGCGCTAACTAGCTAGTTTAGCACACAAAGCCGGTGTAGGTACCAGATCTGCTCGGGTGGTCAGATCTGCCAGTGACGTTATGCTTCATGACTGGCTGAACGTTGCCACATCATGTAAAACATTGTGGTTGCTCAGACAATGATAATAACATCACACCGTGTACCGAGTCCAGAGCATATGTAGCATTAGCATTAGTGTGTCTGATGAGCAATGAAGTGTTAGCTGATTGATAGCAAAACTGAAAAAAATCTGTTTATGGTGAACAAAGGAACTGATAGACCATGATATAAGGGAGGATAGCTGGGTAGCACTGTGGCTAGCTATCTATAGTAGCTAACAGGTTAGCCTCTTTTAGCTCTGTCAGTTAGCCATATTAAGCTATGCTACTTTTAAATTCATGTCAACAACAACTGAGAGTAGAAAGCAGAATAACTTTTTTATTTGTCTAAAATCTCTATGAAAGTCATTTTTAAGATGTTCCATTTTTCCTCCCTGCCTTCAGATCTTAATAAAAAGAATACAAATAAACTGTTTTTCCAGTGTAGTCCTGTTCCTCTGACTGTGACTGGCTGGATGTGCTCTCTTCATCCTCTGACATGGCAGTTGGCTACACTTAACACTTTCGTCTGTTTTTTGGCTGTGACTCCATCGTAGAGAGAAATCAGGTGTGCTGCTGCCATCAAAACCTTTTTTTTTTTTTTTTACAGATGTTGGAGATCGACCTATTTTTCAGTGTAGTCCTGTTTTTCTGACTGTGACTGGCTGGATGTGCTCTCTTCATCCTCTGATATGGAGGCTGCCTCGTCTGCCTGGCTGTGTGTTTCCTGGATGGGGGGCGCCTTTTACAAATGCTTTTTGTATCTCTGCTTCTGTCTCCTTGAACCCCAGTCGGCCTCAGCAGATGGCCGCTCACACTGAGCCTGATTCTACTGGAGGTTTCTTCCTGTTCAAAGGGAGTTTTTCCTCCCCACTGTCGCTACAAGCATGCTTAGTATGAGCGATTGCCTTTGATCAACTGGTTTTCCTTAGATAGAAAACTTTGAATCAGTTTGACTGTATGATCTGGTGAACTGTAAGGTGCCTTGAGATGACATGTACCGGTATTGTGTATTGGCGCTATAGAAATAAACTGAATTGAATTAACCTTTTTTTGTCACCTTGTTAAATAGCAGAGCTCAGTCCACCTCTTAGAACACAGTACTTTCCTTTAAGACTGACAATGATTGTTTTCTACTTTCGGCTACTTTAGATCACCAGTGAAATGTAAAATAATAGCAAATATAGGTAAAAATATGTCAAGACTCTAAATGAGATTTGATCCTTAAGAAACGATACAATACACAATAACAATACAGTTTGTTCGAGTTGAGTTGCCGTATGCTGACGTCATAAGAAGCAGATTTGGTACCTACACCGGAGACTATTTTCTCCTCTCTTGCTGAATCCTCACCTCAATGCTTACCTTTACTGTTAGCCATTACAGATAACAATTTAAGCAATGAAATGTAATTTTATTTATCAAATGTTATTTAGGTAAATTTTTTAAACTGTGTGTTTCTGAAACGTCTTTGCTGGACTTTCCTAAGTCTTCCAGATTATGAGAAACATGACAATCTTAAAAATAACTGTACCGAAGCACTTGCTAAGGTTTGTCTGTTTGTCGATGAAGACTTTGGCCGACACCACATTTCCAAAAGGCATGAACATCTGCAGGAGGTCCTGGTCTCCAAACTCCTGGGGCAGGTGGTAGATGAAGAGGTTGGCACCTTCAGGACCTGAAGGTGAGGAAAGCAGAGCGGATGAGGACAGGATGGATCTATTTGTGCTGTCGTTATAGGAACCCAGCTCAAGCAAACCACTTAGCATAATGTCTGCTGGCCTTGGATTCGCTGCCGCTTTTGCACAAAACCAAAAAAACCTTAAAATGTTGGAAGCTTTTCATAATTGTATTTTGCTTTGCAACAAACAAAGCAGGGGGCTTTTAATTCATTCTTTCAGCTGCATTTTGTCTCTCTTAAGAGGGGTCACAGGTCCTCCCAACCTCTCTTAGTCTATGCCACCCTAATGATTGTAGTAGGTCAGATCTCTCACTAGCGTTTCATACGCTCTCCACTGCTAAATGAAGCCGTGAGCGAGGGCGATATTCGCCACGTCTTTGTCTCCCTGGAGGGTTTTGAACTCCAGGATGGACTGGTAAATACAGACAGACTCTCTACATCTTTTTTGATGCAGAAAGAGAAACGGTCTCCAGTCCGCTCTTTGTTTACCAGACATTTCATCATCTGATTTGTATTCTGCTCTGTTGTCTGAAGCTTTTGGGTGTTTTATTAGCCAGGTTGTGTTTACAGGTGGCACGTCACAGCAGAACAACTTATAATACTACTTCCATTATTTTAAATAAATCATTTAAGTATTAAAGGAAAAGTCTGGTCATATTCAGAAATCAAACTTCTGAAAGTACTTTAAATATGAGATTATTACATACTGTTCAATAAATGATTGAGTGTTTTTAATTAAGAGTAATTTTCATTTGAATGTGCTTTACTGGAGGCATCCATGTTTGTTAAAGAACACTACTACACTGGGAAAAAAAATGAAATATTTATTTATATCTAAAATGCAATTTATTTAAATATGAAAAAAATACAATAAGTGGTATTTTTATTGGTAATATCAACTAAAATCTATAACTATTAAAATCGAAATCTAGATAAGTCATTTTTTCTTCAAATAAGTGCATTTGTTCTTGGACTGAGGAGGTAAAAGCTACATTTTGCCAATTGAGCATGAAAATTGACACTTAAAATAAGAAAATACAATTGCGTTCTCTAATTTCAAGTGCAAATTTCAAGAAATTTTTACTTATTTCTAGATCGTTTCTTCAGTGTGCCACCTTGTTTGTGACCTCAGGGTCTTAAAAAAAAGATAATTAGATAATATGCACTTGGAATAAGAAAATGCAATTGTTTTTTTCTTAATTTTATTGAAATTGTCTTGGTCCATTGGCAAAGTGTCTAAATTTTCACCTAAATTCCTGAAAAATTCACTTATTTTAATAAAAAAAATGACATTTAGATTGAAATTTTATGCAATATGGTGTGCTTTCCAAAACGAAAAACCATGAGGAAAGACTTTATGCGGGAAGATCCTAAGACATCGGCCATGAAGGACCCACAGGTCTCTTCCTACGTTTGAAACCGAGTCAGACTCATTCCAAGCACGTAGAAAAGGTGTGTGGGAACAAACCCGGCCCGCTTCCAGCAGGTTCTGAGGGTTTAATCATAACATTAGGGGAATTATTGACAAATACTGATGACATGTATGTAAAACTCTCAATTTGGAGAAAGTTAAATAAACAAATTAATGTGTCTCATTCTAACAGACAGAAATAATGATGGTAATTCTAACTTAATATAAAGGACATTTGCTGGCATTTATCATTCAGACATCTAACTCAGTGTTTATGAAGGAGACGCATGCTTAGGAAACCTGCAGCCGCGCCACGCAGACGTGTTACCACAGACTACTGACCCTCCTTCTGGCTGCCGGCGGCCCCCTGCTGCTGCAGCAGGGACTGGCTGTAGAGGGTGGGCAGCGCTGCGGCGGCGTACTGCTGGATCCCTGAGTAGGCCTGCGTCAGCGCGTCCATGGTGCCGGCCGTGCCGTTGGTGAGCCCTGCGCCGCCCAGGCCTCCGTTTAGAGCCGCCATACCTGAGAGCATTTGAGCAACTTTACATAAAACCCAACAATAAAGAAAGGAGAATGCACTTACTCATTAGCGCTCCCACTGAAGGTTGTGTTATTAACCACACAGACAAACACAAAGACGCACTGACTGTCACACACCGCACCACAGGTCACACACAGAAAAAAAAACATTAATACTGACGCACAAAAGACGACACATCACGAGACGAACAGAGTAGAAGATTTAAAACAGCAGCATCACTTATGAGGGCAGCTGATGACGGCCAGAGCTGCACAGGAACCAGCAGAGACAGACGGCATGCAGCGCTGCAAGCGCACAGCCAACCAGAGCCAGAGGCAACATGGCCGCTACCCACACAAATAACTACCACTGAAAAACAAATAAATACAGCAACAGATTTTACTGCACATCACATCAGGACAAAGCGGAAACATATGGAATGCCATTTATAGCAATAATTAACATCCATCTAATTGGTACCAACATCAAACTTCAAAATAAATGCAAAAATTAATTAAATTGAATTCATTTTTGTTAAAAACATTAGATTTTTTAAAGGACTTTTTATTTATATCTAAAATGCTATTTATTTAAATATGAAAAAAATACAACAAGTTGTATTTTTATTGGTAATCAACTGAAATCTATAACTATTAAAATCGAAATCTAGATAAGTGATTTTTTTCTTAAAATAAGTGAATTTTTTCTTTGATTAAAGAGGTAAAGGAGACATTTTGCAAATGGAACAAGAAAATTTACATTTAAAATAAGAAAAAAACTATTGCATTGTCTTATCTCAACTGCATATTATCTAATTATCTTATTCTAAAAGTAAAAATACTCATTCCGTTGGCAAACTACCTCAATTATCTATTCAAATTAAGGGTAAATATACTTAATTTAAGATATTTTTTACTTATTTCTAGATCGTTTTTCCAGTGCAGTTTGGATTTATCATATATCAATGCGAACCTCAGCTTTAAAGTCAAGGTTTGGTTGGTTTTCCAAACATTTCATGAAATAGAAACAAATATTGTTCAAATTGGTGAGAAGGGATTCAGTTTAATTAGTTTTTAATAGAAAAATAATAAGCAGGAAGAGCAAAAATAAATTGCATAAATTAAACATTTAAACCACCTGGAAACCATCTGGGTGGTTATTTTTATAAACTGCACAGATACTTGAAATAAAAGATGTTTTTACTGTGGTTTCCCGGCACAGACATTCAAATTTACGAGGGCTCCCTGAATGCACCTTCTGCATTCAAATCCCACTTTGCTCTGCAGCATCGTGCACTAAGTTAAAAAAACAAAACACATCATTCACTCCAGATACGGACTGAACCATAAGAGCAGTTCGCTTCACATTTGTTTGTTCTGTATAAATACATATATGTTACACATGTTACAATTTTTCCTACAAAAATCCAAACTTTTTCCTCATAACTGAAAACTTTAACTTGCAAAAAAATAAAAGCTACTTTTAAAAAAAGTTGCTTCTGTGAAATTTATATTTATATTTATTTAGGGGGCTTGTAATATTGTCTAAAATGACATTCCATGAACCATAAATGTTTAAATACACATTTATACATGAACGTCAGACAGAATAAAATTAGAACAAGTTGTTGGGAAATATTCCTAAATATTTATAATCGTTGATAAATGTTGTTGGACTATCTGATCATGAAAACACGAAAAATGGCTCTAAGACAAATTTAAAACATCGGAGATGCCAACATACTGTACCAACATCTATTATTTTAGGATATTTATTTATTTATTTTCAGGTTTTTTGTACAGTAGGCTGACAGGAAAGGGGAAACCCTGCTCCACCACATACGGGACTAAGGGTTTCAACTGCGGCATCAGGATATTTACTTTAAAAACAAAAATAAATAAATTACACTTAACACGTTTCTCTGTTGATTCGCTGTGACTCCATGCTGGAGAGAAATATCAGCTGTGCTGCTGCCATCAACACCTTTGTTTATAGATGTTGGAGCTTATAGTTAGAGTGGCTCAGGTTATCCTGAGCTATCTCTATAGTTATGCTGCTATAGGCTTAGACTGCTGGAGGACATAGGGACCCCTTTTTCATCATTCTGCTTCATTCTATCTCTATTCTCCCACTCTGCAGAATCTTTTAGTTCAATCTCTAACGTTCTGCTCTCTCAACACCTTTGTTTCTAGATGTTGGAGATCGGTCTGTTTTCCAGTGTTTTCCACTGTTTTCCACTGTTTTCCAGTCCTGTTTCTCTGACTGTGACTAACTGGTTGTTCTCTTTTCATCCTCTGGCATGGGAGCTGGCTCAGAGCTCGTCTGCCTGGCTGTGTGTTTCCTAGATGGGGCCGGCTTTATTAGCTGCTTTTCTATCTCTGCTTCTGTCTCCTTGAACCCCAGTCAGCCTCAGCAGATGGCCGCTCACACTGAGCCTGGTTCCGCTGGAGGTTTCTTCCTGTTAAAAGGAAATTTTTCCTCTCCACTGTCGCTACAAGCATGCTTAGTGTGAGGGATTGCCTTTGAGTCAATGAGTTGAGATGAGAAAATGTTTGTTGTGAATTGGCGCTACAGAAATAAACTGAATTGAAATCGATATGAATGAATTTTGAAGAAAACAGAAATATTAAATGATGTTTTATTTGATTGATCTAAATAAGTGCTATATTTTGGGTCATTTACTCTGAATAGTCTTTGCTGATAATATATTAGATTTTATATTTGGTCAAATGAAACATCAGGGAGAATTAAAGTTTAAAACAAATATTTTAAATGTGTTCATTTGTTTTCCTGTTAAACTGGAGTAGGAGCGGTCAGAGAGACGTTTCCATTGTGGAGACGAACTGGTTATTGACCCTCTGGGTCCCTGAGAAAGTCCCCCAACTGCAGACTGCTCCCCAGGTGCTGCAAGATGTTCACAGCTTCTTTATGGGTCAATAAAGGATCCAGCTTTTCAAAGTTTCCTCATAGAAATGTTTAAAATAAGCATCAGTTCTGCATCTGGACCTGCAGTTAGCTTAGCTTATCAGAGCAAGCTAGCTGGTATGAAGAACATTAGGGGTCCAGGCGACCATTGTCTTCTTTTCCAGCCTGTGATGTCTCCGTTGTGGCTTTTAGGGGGCGAGGGGAGCGAGGCGGTGGGTTTAGTGGTGAAGGAACACTCATTAGCTGCTTGTAATGGCTTAATATCACGGCGGAGGGCAACTTGTCTGAGGAGGTCTGACACCGCCTCGCCGTCCTGTCGCCTCGCCGTCAGACACGGTGAAATAAATTATCACCACTGCGCTGTGGATTATAGGTCACTCATTTATTCGGGAATAATTGCACCGCTGACCTTTGCAATTCAATTAAGGCCTGGATGTGTTTAAATGAGGGCAGCCGATGGCGGTGGGTGGATGGAGGAGGGGAGGGGGCAGCGAGAAGAACCAAAACGGAGCGGACCTGTTGGGTCGAACAGGAGTCGAGGCGTGTGTGATTTACACACAGCGGGTAGAGCTACTCCAGCCGAGGAGCGGAAAGGTCAGAGGAGAATAATGTGGTGGAAGAGGCCTGTAGTACGGGATCTCTGCTGTCATAACAGCTCTGATTAAGATCCCAACGCCGCTCCTCAGAGGTCGAAGGCAGGACGCCCAGCAGGACCGAGGATGGAAACAGGGATCTGCTCCAGATTCCAGGAGGAAATGCTGCTTTTCTAAACCTAAACAAACTGTTTAAGCAGCCGGGAGAGATCAGGTCTACAGTTAGCAGGGCAAAGGTCAAAGGTCACGACCCTGAAGCAGACTGGAAAGATTCTTCTCTATAAAACCAACATGGCAATAGCTACATCTGGATCAAGGATAAGACGTCTGAAACCAAAGAAGAAAAGTCGGACCACGATGGACAGAACCGACTCATTCAAACCTCCTCCACATCCCCAGAACCAGACTCAGGGCATTTTGTGCTGCTGCCCCACATCTGTGGAATTCTCTCCCTGACACCTTGAGGGCTCCTCCATCCACTGAGTGCTTTAAAAAAGGTCTTTAAACACTACTTTTTAGCAAAGCTTTTGGTCCCCTTTAGATGTTTTTCTCTCTTTTAAAAAAAGGTTTTTCACACTTTTCTCTTTTTTACCTGTAGTACTTTGAGATCTTTTGACGGAAATTGAATTCTAAATTAAATGTATTATTATTATCTGCTACTGACTGGCAAGCACGGTGATGGAGGACTGATGGTTTGGGCGTGTTCTGCAGCAAAAGGTTTTGCAGACCGTAGAACGAATTTTTTGTTCTTTTTTTTGAGTTTTTAAAGGCACTAGTGGCTAATTTTTGGACAGTAGGCTGACAGGAAAGGGGTTATGAGAAACATGCAGGAAAGAACCACAAGTCAAACTCGAACCTAGGTCAGCCGTGTTGAGGACTAAGGTCTCCTTACATGAGTCGTGTGCGCTAACCACCGCACCACTAAAGCACTCTCCTGATTTTTTTCAATCATTGCACGCAGCTACAGCTAACAATTTACAACAAAACCGCAGGGTTGAAAAGCTGACGCACTGATGCAATCTACCTGCTCTCACTCTATGTCTAAAAACCACGTGGGACTCAGCTCCGCAGTGCGATGGCGCTACTCGGACTCGTCTATCCGGAAGCCGAACAAGTAGGAGAGGAATATGAAGCTCACTAGAGGGAAATTTGTGCAATTTTGTGCTGAAAGCCCTAAAAAGAAACGCTGACAACGCATTTGATCAAAGACATGGCTGAGCAAACATGGCCACTACGGTCTTTAGTAGCTACTACTACATGGCTACTACTGTCTATACAGAAGAACTCCATTTCACTCACAACCCGCCATGCTGCTGTTTTCATCTCAGAGAAAGAAGAAGAATCCTTGTTTGCGCACTGCGCGATTTGCCCACGACTACCTCACGACGGCCGACTGAATTTCAAGTATGTTTGATTTTCTCCCGACCTTACGATGCCTGATCAGGAAGTGGTCGTGAGCGGCTGATTGCCCCTTGTTACCCCCTGTAGAGTACACGACGCACCATCAGTCTGAAAGACGGCTCCATTGATAAATTCTCGCACCACTGGACAATCGGCCCGACAAAGGCAAAAAATCGGGCCGTCTGGATCAAGGATGCCCGGTTTTACAGTTAACACCTGGACCAAAAGCCGGTCTATCCAGCAGCTGCAGTTTGGACTGAACAGAACCAGGATCCTAAACTGATTTACAAACAGCAGCAGAGGAAACAGAACCAAGGATTTAAACTGTTTTAAAAACAGGTGGATCTATGAGCTGCAAGAACTTTATGTACCTGAACCTTAAACCCAGGGGGTGCAGGAACATTTACAGCTGGACACGATGGAAAGAATCGGTTTAGTCTCAGTTTTAGTCATAGATCTGATCTGTTTTATGAGACAAACAGACACCAAACAGCGCCACCTGGTGACAGACACACAACACTGTCCCACGCAGCAGCAGCTAGGTCTACTGACTACAGGAAGCCCAACCCAGGACACAACCAGGAAGCAGATGGAGCAGTGGAGGAATGGCTGGAATGAGGATGGTTCAACCAAGAAGTTCTCCATGGACCCGAGACGCAGAGAGACAGCAGCAAGAACCAGTCTTCTACTGGGAGGACTGGGAACTGCATTAACTATTGGTTTGGTTCAGATATGATGTTAACTTCAATTCTGCCCATTTTAAATATGTCCATGAATCAAAGCGTGTCTCTCTGCTCAGCGGAGGCGTGAGGTGTGGATGGCTGGAGTGGCTGATGGCAGGGTGAATACTCACTGTTGATGCTACCTGCTAGTGCATTGATGTTGTTCAGGCCCACAGTGGCGCCTGCCAGGCCCTGCAGGGTACCCAGAGAGGTCAGAGAGTTCATGGCACCGGCGTTAGAGCTGGCTGTTGTGCCTGCTGCTGGGAGGAGAGAGGAAGACAGAGAAGTGGATGCGTTATATCCAACATTCAGCGACTCCTATGCATAGATGGCTCTACGCAGCTGCAGAGTTTTTAGGTGCTAGGTGCAGCAATGTAGGATCAGGAGCCCTGCACTGAAAGTATGGGGGCATTTTAGACTTCAGGAACATCTACTATGGTGGCTCATCTATATGTCTGAACCACTGAGCTCCAGCCTTGAAAAATGGCTCCTCATCATCAATATTATTATAACTTTATTGAAAAACATTCTTGTCTTTTGTGAAGCATAAAAAAAATAGGAAATCTCTCCTTCCTGGTCATCCCATGTGGAGCTTGTGTCCTAAAATAGGAATAACTTTGTAGTCAGAACTGGTTCCATCACCTCATATTGGACCAGTTCTCTTTGGGTTCATTTCTGACAAGTTTCCTGAGCAGCGTTAAGCTACAGCCCGCTTGGATTTGCTGGGGCTTTGTTGATATAATACCCTGATATATTAATCTGTGTCTGAGCTTACAGAAAATAAAGGCAACTTTAGAAATAATGACTAACAAAAGAAATGTTGAAAATCCTTGCCGAAACAGATGAGTGTGTGAGTAAATCAGCTTAGAAACCCAACAAACGGGTTCCTCTGATCAGATTTTAAAGCAAAACTGGAAACTAATTTTCTACCCTGAGGCTCAGAGTTGATTTTAAACGTTATAATTACTGTTTTATGAGATGAAGCAAAGGATAATTTGGTTGTTGGGCCAATTTGTGTTACAATTGGCTTTAAAACACTTTACCCGGCGACAGGTGAGGTTATGGGACGCTGCGGTTGTCAGAAACATTTAGGAACAGACATCTCTGGATTCTGTTAGGTTCCTAAAAACTTTGATAAAGATGCAAATCAGTCAATATGGAGGTTAGCTGATGCTAAACAGCGTTACAGGTAGCACCAAACTACTGCAGCACCGACACAGAACATTTCTGGAAACAAATAAATGGCTGTAACTTGTCTGTTCCAAAGATTTGATATACATCAGTACACCAGTTCTAAAAAAAAAAAAAAACAGGAAAAAAAAAATCAGATAGATGAGACCAATATGAAAACCCGTCTGTGAAAAAAATGAGTACACCCCTGATTTAGCAGTTGGTAGAACCCAAGTTATCTCTATAGTTATGCTGCTATAGGCTTAGACTGCCGGAGGACATAGAGACCTCTTTTCATCATATCTCTGTTCTATCAATCTGCAGTATTTTTTAGTTTATTTTCTAACGTTATGCTCGCTCTGCTTTTTCTTATCTTGGACTTAGAGATAAGAGACTTTTTCCTTTGATTCTTCCAGGGTGGTTCAGCCTCAGGACCTTTGACCTCTGAGACGGAGCTGTAAGGTTGCTTAAAGTTAGCCAGGTTAGATCTGAAATGTTTTCCTTCTTGGGATCGCTAAAGGTGCTGCTCTGAGGTCATTGCTGATATCTTCCTGCTTCTGAGCTTTAATCATCTAAGATTTTGGCCTTTATAGAGACGTTCAAACTCTGTGACGATCTAGGTGCTATAACTGGGGTGTACTTCATTTTCCACACAGCCTTTCAGTTTAGCTTTAAGATCTATGCCTTCGTTCTTCTGTTAAGGTGAGATTTAGATTATTTTCCTTCTTTTTCCTGCAAAGCGACAGGAGAAACAAACAGAAATGTCCCTTTATTGAACTTTAAAGATGTTTCATCAACTAATAATTTGCGTATTTCCTCACATATTTGGATCTTAATGAGTCGGTAAAGAAAAAAGGAATCACGATGACAAATGAGAAAGATCCCAAACACACAGACGCACACCTGAGGAGACACTGAGGCGGTGGGTGGAATGGAGGGAAATGTGGCGCAAAAAGCTTGCAACCTTGTTCCTTCTCAGACAACAACAAAATAGAGATTTAATCTATTCATTTACCCTTCAGCTCATCAAAGCGTTGCCAACAAAGCAGGATTGCCGCTGAATATATTAGGAGGTGGTGTGGCAGAGGGAGCATTATGTCAGCACACGTTGCAAAACAAAGACGGTGGCCTGTCTCCATGCAGAACGGTCTATATTTATCAAACTAGAGTGACGTTTCGGTTTCACTGACACATGCAGTATAGCAGCACTCATTCACAGCGAGGAGCTCAACCTAAGTGTGCAATATGCAAGGTTGGAGTGACATTTGGCACGAGAGAGAGAGAGGCGAAAAGTATGGAGGGAAAGAGTGAGACGAGGAGGAGAGACCAGACAAGAAGGGGCGTTTGGAGCAGGATGGAGGAGGAGGCTGCTTTTCATATTCATGCTCTGGTGAGAGGGCGCTGCTGGAGCGAGGCCGAGCCGACATGAAGGGGGGGGGGGGGGTGATGGAGCAGAAACAGGGAGCTTGTCAAAAAGAGGGCAGGAGCAGGAGATGAGGGCAACAAGGAGAGACGGAGAAGGAAGAAGGTGAGGACGGTGGCGTTTAACCCCAACATCTACCTGCTGCTTTTAGACGTACATCTACAAGAAGGACATCATCGAAACGCACAGAGGTGCACAACCCCCCCCCCCCAATCAGCCGCAGGGCCGCCGCAGCGAGGAGCAAAGTGAAAACACAACACCAGAACCGGACTCACACGTAGGCAAAAACGTTCATGCACACACACATCCAGCCGCAACGCTGCAATGAGGGGGCGGCGGCACGCCACATGATGTTCAAACACAGGAGGACGCGTGTGGAACATCGACATGACATCCGTGTCAGGATGGAGGTGGACACACACCACGGATGGAGGTCGGAGCGATGGCGATGTGTGATGAGCCGACGGTCGGCTGAGGTGACAACAATGGGAACAGTGGAGAGCGGCGTGGGGTGGCCCCGCCCGCCCGAGCCCAGCGGCGTTACCTGGGCTGGCCAACGCTCCCAGGGAGGCGACGCTGGAGGACAGGGGGTTTGCGGTGGAGGGGCTGGCTGAGTTTTGAGCTGCTGCCGCCGCTGCCGCTAAAGTGGCCAGGTTCTGCAACTGCAGAGCGCTCATACCTGGAGAGAGGAGCCAGAGAGGGTGGTGTCAAAGCTGGGGGGGTCGCCGGGGCTGCACAACCGGCGCTCCAAGGGTCCGCAGGAGAACAGCGTGTATTCCCTTCACTAACACACCTGGAAACAAGCTCTCAGTCTGCTTCCTGCTTCTCCTTCAAACAAGCAGAAAGTCTGAAGGTAAACACTCCAGCAGCTGAGTTCACTAATAAGTCCCAAATGGGCCTGAATCAGTAAAAGCAGCTGCTGTAGCGTTTAGTCCTGGTGTGTTTCTCCCAGGCAGAGCTGCTCTGGAGGCAGAAATAATCAGAGTGATTTAGTTCAACTTATGTTTCTCCCTTTCAACAGCACTCGATTAAAACCCTGCGGAGGGGCTACAGACACAGAGAGGAAGCTAACCTTTTCTAAGACACTTCTGCAGGCTGGAGCCTATTATATCGCTTTAAAAATTCAACTCCTGGAGCTTCTCTCTGCACCAATATTTACTGCTAAAAGCCATTAAAAACACAAAAACCAATATGGGTCAGACTGCCGGCAGATTATTTACTCTTTCAAAAAAGGAGCGGAACTTTAGGAGGCTTTAACCTTTCTGGCCTGAGCTGACCTACTAACATCCACCTAACATGCACTTGAGAATAATTAACACTTTGATTGGTTCACGTACTGAATCCAAACAGATCCCTCTAAACATGTCACAGCTTTTTGCATCCGACCATGAAAGGACACCACCACATTCTTTATAGTCTCAAAACCACTGATTTAAATGATCAGAGAAAATTTTTTCCAGGAAATAAAGACAGTCAGTTGTATGGCGTTACATTTATCTCAAAACGTTAGATTAGTTCTGCATGCGCATGGTTTATCGACCACCGCACAACAAAATCGCCTTTATCTTAAAATTTCTAAATTAAAAGTAGCATCCTAAAAGACGATTTCGCCAACAATTGTTGCTTAAATGCCTGATAATAAAAATCTCTGGGAAATTACAAGAGGATTTGAAAATCCTCCAAATATCTCGGCTGTTATGTCACATAATGGGACGTTTCTATGAAAGTACAGGTGGATCTGATTTTTTTTTGTTGCAATCTACAAAACAACCACTAGAGGGAACTAAAACCTACATTTTAACTGTTTTTTTTTTGTTTCGTACGATGGGGGGAGTTGATTTAAAAACATCGACAATCATAACTCTGTGAAACAGTAGATGAGTCTCTGCTTTAATGTTAATGATATCTGCGGTCAAAGCTGTAAACTGCTAAACATCACGGCCTCCGTTAATCTCTGTTTACAATTAATATGAATTTGTTCTATGATTATATTTGAATCATATAATTATATAATCAAATGTTCACTTTTCCTTGGCCAGTTTAATCGTCTTTAAGCAAAGATTATAGAGGATTTTAAATAAACATAGCCACAGTGTGTTTGTAGAGTACGGATGATGAAGTGCTTGACCAGTAGCAGCCATTCAAAATGGCCATTCCCAATGAAAAGCCAGCCCTCCATCGCCCTTTCACTGAATTACAGCGTCGGACAAGGAGATAACGCTTCTCTTTAGTCCTTCTAATGTCCACAAACATGACAGAAAGAATATTTTAGATGTTTAAAAAGGAACTTTAGGGGTGTCATAAATCCACCAACACCCCAGCAGACCGAACACACTGTCTTCTGTGGCGTTGTGTCCAAACTGTAGGTACCTTGGTCTATTGGTTAAGAGCTGGAACTGCCCAGCATTTTGGGTGTGATCTGTTCTATTTGGATTGCCTCGGGCATCCAGGGGTAGATTTAGGAAGTTTGGGGCCGTAGGCAAAGACAGGCAGAGGGCCCTCTGAACACATAAAACACAAGGAAATTGTACAGGCCAACAATCCCCTTTAAAGACGATCTTTCAGACACTTAGATCGGTATGGGGTATTGCAGTCTAACAAAAGAAGCCAAATGAACCCCAAATGGGTGGACCCCTTCGTCATTTGAAATTAGCAAAACAAGGCTTTGTGGGGCTACTGTATTAAACCTTGAACTCACATATTTCTGACATTTTGAGTTGAAAAAGCTTCCTGGATGGGAAGCAAAACGTCTTTAAACTTGGAAACAAAGTCTAGTGCATTGTTTTTAATTTTCTTTTTTTGGAGCACATAAAACAGACCCATTATACAGTTAAAGTCTCTCTCTTCTTGTCCATTTTCTTGTTGTTTTCCTCTCTATGTTTTGTACTCAGCTGACTTTTCATGCTGTCTCTAAAGGAATGAAAGATTTTTTCCAAGCACTAAGCTCACTTAGCTGATTGCTCCTTCCTGTGTTTCCAAAAAGTAAATAACCCAGTCCTTCTTTTCACTGTACACAAGCCATGATCTGCTTCTCTGTTCTCCATTTTTCATTTGGATGAAATAATAGCTGCATGAATCATGACAGCAGACAAGATAGAGGAGAGCAGGAGGCGGGGTTACCAATCTACTCACTCTGGAGAGCAGAGTTCGCTGCTTTTAGATGTTATCTCCAAAGTCTCCTGTAGCAGAAATAAGTCGCTAGATTTGGCGCTAGGTGCTTTTTGATATCAAAGTTCTAGAGGGGTCTGAAACGTCAATAAATGTAGCGACAAGTTAGCAACACTGCTCTTTGCATCGTTAGTTTTCAAATGGTTTGCTGCTGTCTGTCTGGCCCTTTCTGAACATGTGCAGCAAATGGACTGATCCAATATGGTGGACACTGAAGGGGGGGGGCTGAGACACACTTAATATTAGATGCGCTCTGATAGCATTTTAGCGAAGGATTGTTTTTTATCAAAAACATAATTAAGGAATAGTTGTATTAACTCCAAGACTTTGGGGCCCTAGGCAACTGCCTAGTATGGCCTATGGTAAATCCCCCCCCCGCCTGTATCCATTGCCTGTGCTTGACATGTTCTCTTGACTGGACCGTGACCTTCTGGTCATTTGTACCTTTTTCTCTCCATAGAAATACAGATTTTCTGCGTTCAGGTTCTAATTTGAAGCGATTAAACTCTCCAATCTATCCATCAATTCAATTCAATTCAATTCAGTTTATTTATATAGCGCCAAATTCACAACACATGTCATCTCAAGGCACTTTACAGTTCAACCATCAGCACATTACTGAAGCCCCGCCTCTTTCACCGGACGACAGCGTACGGCCTTTTCTTCAGCATAACTAATGACTGCGTGCCAACATGACAGAGAGGAACCAGCAGCATCTCCCTCGCTGTAAAACCTCAGAAAACAAATCACAGCAGAACCGTACAATGTCTCCAACACATGAGCTTGTTAAGGCTAGGTAAGGGTGGAACATATGACGTGCATGTGTTGTATATACAGCCTGGGTGTGTATATACAGCCCTATGGGAGTACACACATGTAGAGAGACACACAGAAACAACACAGCGAGGAAAATCCATCTTGTTAAACAAAGATATCCTTCATCCAGACAACCAAACTCAACAATGACAACAGATGGCTGAATTCATCACTTGGATTCACACCTCTGATTGGTAAATAAATGGATTAAAAAGGAGATAGGAAGAAAAAGACAAGCCGCTTTGAGAGTTCGGATCTCGTTTTAGGCGCAGAGTCGCTGCAGCCGAGTGTGAGAGCTCCGGGTTTCAGGCAACGTGTTTTCACGCTCGCACAAACGATGTGTGCGACTTCTTGACTTGTCCCTGCTGCTCGGGAACACCGCCACCACCGCAGCCAAAACCAATTGTGTTTTCAGGGCGATTTTCTCCAATTTTCTGTCATACGCCCAAAGCCCAAATGGATTTCTATTTTCAGGGGATGCAGGAACAAAAACAGGCGTCACTCTTTCCATCAAATCCCAACAAAAACACAGACTCACAGCCGTGCTAATTCTGGCCCTGTCTTACTTAGAGGAGGCAGAGAATGGAGCAAATGAGCCAGAAGACGTGCAGCTTTAGAGGAGCTACAACAAATCGTATTGATCTTGTTCTGGAAAGTGGAAAGCAGACCTGATCTGTTTGTAAAATGCAACATGGAGCTGGTGGGTTCCTTTGCTTCTCTGCATTTCTTCCCTTTATCTTTCATCTGGTACTTTCCTTCCTTCTTTACCCATTTTTAATTAACCGTCTTTACTTTGTCCTCTTCTTTTCTCTAATGTCCTCCCTTCCTGTTTTATTATGGTCTCCAATTTTAATTACAAGTTTATTTCCATTAGTAATACCCTTCAAAACATGCTTCTTTCCCTCCAAACACTGACTGTCTATCAGGATAACCAATAAATGTCCTGTCAGGCTAAGCTTAAGTTGGATTAACTTCATGCTTGATGGATCTTAGTTTGATTTACACCAAAAGAGAAAAAAGTTTATCATCATTTTAAAAAGACTATCAGGCTTAAAATGTTATTAAGAGGAGGCGCTTTGAGAGCTGAGCTTTGTTCCAGGGTTGAAAAAAACCCCCCCAAATAATGAAAGTGTTAAAGGAAAAGTCCGGTCATATTCAGAATTCAAACTTCTGAAAGTACTTTAAATATGAAATTATTACATCCTGTTCAATAAATGATAAGTGCTTTTAAATAACAGTAGTTTTCATTTAAATGTAACTGGAGGCGTCCATGTTTGTCAAAGAACACTACTGCCACCTACTGGTTTGTGACGTCACGGTGCGGTATCGGCTGTTGATCAAGTCCCAGTGCTGTATCTGGTGTTTGTCACAACGCGCTATTATCCAAGTCACCTTGAAAACATTCTTCTTCCAAATGTTGGCTACATATTACGTGTTTTTTCTCTGGCAAGAAGTTCGATGGCAAATCCTCCCTCTTCAAGTTAGCAAACCAACGACGAACTGTCTGTGGAGGATCAGGAATCGGAAAGGTGAATTGTTTTCACTTTTCCCCGATGTATTCCAGCATCCAGCTGCCATGCACGTGGGCATTGTCAGTTTCACTATAGCTCTGGTGAATTTCAATGGTGAAGTCCTCTGGAAATCTTCAATAATTGTTGTTGATTGCAGATGTGTCTAGTAGTTCCCATTGGTTTTGCTTGTAAAGCGGGGAGAAAGGCGCTAGGCTTACCGCACTGTGACGTCACTGCTGTAAGATAGCAGGAGGGAGGGGCTACTATATTTGGGCAAAGATCGCGACAAAACATATTGCGTTTTTTTATTAAAACACAGATTACCGCAAAATTAATTGAATTTAACACATTAGTTTTAGGTATAGATAATGATCCATTGATTATTCCTTGCTGACCGGACTTTTCCTTTAACAAACGGCCACTTTTAATGTCAATCTTTAAGCTGCATTATTTTTACACTTTCTTTACATAGAAAGTACTTTTCTGTTTAGCTCCTAAATGAAGACACTATTGCAACTAACCTTTCACCTCCATCTGACATAGAAAGTCCTGCTTTGAGCCAACATGCTGCTTCATGCTCATCCTGTCATTGTTTAGGTTCTGATAAAGTTTTATCTTTTAGTTTTCATTGGTTTTATTTCCATTTTGTGTTATTTTTTATTGTATTTAAGTTCTAAGGTATGTCTTCTTTGCCCTCTTCTGTCAGTCTCCTTTTTCCTAGCTCTCTTCTAGACTCCTCTGTTCACACCTGCTCCCAATCTGCTAATCATCCTGGTCTTTGTTTCTTTCTCCATATATGCACCTTCTGCTCAGTCACTGTTGCTGGTTTGTCGTCATTTCTTGGCCCCCTTCTTGTGAGTATTCCTGGTTCTTAGTTTTTGTGGATTGATGTGTTAGATTGTTGCTTCTGCTGCCACCTTTTTTAATTTAGGCCCCGTCCACAAGAAGTCAAACCCTGGCCTAAACGCACAAATTTTTCACCAAACCAGCCTCTCATCCATACAAAGCCGGCGTTTCGGGGGTCTGTAAACAATCTTTTTTTTATTAAGCCTTCAGAGAGGGAAGATTTTGAAACGCCGTTTTCGCGTTTCCATCTTTAAGCTCTAACCGCATTTTTTTTCTTACAGGCATGCGTCATAGCGTCGCCTCTTAACACGCATGCGCGACACAGTATCACAACAACAATGGCGCCGTACTGTGTTGAATGGTTGCTGCTCATGCTACTCACCCTGCTGTCGGGCTTACAACAGAATCTTCTTCTTCTGGAATATTTCCAGGAAGAACAGAGCAATATCGACGACATAGTTCAGCACCTGAATTTGACTGAACCACGAAAATGGACCCGCAGGGCAACCATGTATAAATATTACTGCGCATGCCCAACATTTCATCGCCTGTTTTTGCTTTGGCACCACAGCGCCACTTACAGGCCTGGCATACATTTTGCAGCGTTTTCATGCATTCGTGTGGACGCTCACATTTATTTTACGTCTCCGTCTTTACGACAAACGTTCTGGAAAATATTAGCGTTTCGTGTTCGTTTTGACTTCGTGTGGACGGGGCCTAAATCTGCAAGTAACCACCTTCAGCTTCAGTGTCTGCATTAGAGGCCTGTCAAACCTCCACCCTACTGTGACACATCCAGATGGAGCGAGAGCTGCAAGGATGTCTTTAAGCAAACGGTTGCTTTGGAGAGAAAACTCTTTCATTCAATCTAATCCGATTAGATTACATTGGAACTTGTTTATATGATTGGACTGAGCAAACATTTTTGCACGTTGTTTTTCTTTTTTTGTGTTTGATTCCTGCTTCCAGCGTTTGGATGTGAGTTCTGTGGGCTGATGTGTTTCTCTCTCAGGTGTCTTTTAAAGCATGATCTGTCCACATTCTGAACTAAAGTTGTTTCTTAGTTTTGATTGAGGAGACCCTAATCAGATGCGGACATCAGTAGATGTCTTTATACGGACATCTTTGTTTACATCGTGTCTCTTTTAAATGAGACATTTTTCATTCTTCATTTATTTGGAAATGTTTTCCACTCTGGGAGTAAAACAACTTTTCTATATTCTGTTTTTCTACTTTATTTAATCACTTCCATTTAGTTCACATGTTGTCATGGAAACACTGTGATTAACTTCAACATTTGAATCAAATGTACCTTCTTGAGATGTTTATGATACCCAAACCTAAAACAGGTGATGCATTCAGGCTCCTCTACCTCAGGAGGATTCTCCATCACAGATGTAATGTTGTATCAGTTTATTCAGAATTAAATTAAATTAATTATTGGGCTTTGGTGCTGCAGTGGCCTCCCATTTTATAGATGTTTTCTTTTAAGACATATTTAGTTATTATTATACTGATTCTTTTAGAGTGAAAATTTTTTTTTAATATATATTTAATGTTGTCTTACTGTTTGCTTTAAACCTTTTGTATTGAAATCTGTGATATTCTCTCAGTTCCTGCATTTTCTTTCTGTTTTTGATCTTTATTTTCCCTCCATGACTATTTTTGTCCTTTTCTCCGACTTGATGCATGACAGCAAACAACAAAGCGGCTCCTTCTCTGTTTCCTTCTTCTTTCTCTCTCCATGCAACCTTTCCTCACCTTGTTTTAGCTCTACATCAGCTCTACTTGCGTTTGTCAACAGCCATCTATCCCACTGAACATACATTTTGGAGACAGTTATGAGGGGGGAAAGGAGCATAAAATAACCCTGCCGGAGAGGAACAAAGAGCCGACAACGATGGAGACGAGGCTCTGAGACAAACGGATCTGGGTTGTGCAGATGGTGCGTGAGCGGGTCCATTGTGTGCGAGTGCATATGTGTGGAAGGATGCGAGCGCTCCTCGCCGCTCCCGCCCGCCGTTGGCTGCATCTAATTGAAAGCTCATTGGTGTAATTGAAGCCTCTCAGCTCTGCAGCTCCTCGTGTTAAAGACTGGGACCAGATGTCATTCAGCTGTCTCACATCTCCTGCCAATCACTAATGCTCCACCGTCTCTTCCTCACCAGCGCAGATGGAGGACCGACAGATTCCTCCAAGAGACGCACTCCTCCGCCTGCTCTTTCCAAATCCTCCCAGAGCCGATTTGTCAGCATGAATTTAAGGAACACGAGGTGCTGAAACGGGAAAAACCGTGAGCAGTGTGCGGCTTTTAGAGAACATGACAGAAAACTGGAGGTTAAACTCTGCCAGCGCACTCCTTCATGCTGATGCTTCACTTCATCCTGCTTTCTTAATCAGAAGAACCAAACAGTGAGACGATCTGGCAATGGAGGAAGAACCATTACTTAGTAGTAATACTCCAGACTCAACCTCACAAAAATCTTTGTCCAACATCCTCGTTTTTAAACATAAAGTGAAACGATTCAATTTTCATTTATGGAAACAAAATGTTTTATGGGGTTTTGTGATTCAAGGAAAACCTGAGAGAGGAAAGACAAGGAATACATGCAGACTGGAAATAAAATAAAGGATAAGATGAAGAAAGAAGGGAGGGGATGAAAGAAAAAACAGGAAGGAAGAAACAGAGGGAAGGACAAAAAGGAACGGATGTAGGCCACAAGAAGGAAAGACAGGAAAAGGAAAGCAGGAAGGAAACGAGCAAGAAAAAAGGAGATGAAAGAGGAAGGAAAGAAGGAAGGATACAAGTAAGGAAGAAGACGAGGAATAAGGAAAGGTAGAAAGTTAGGGAGACAATGAAATCAGGAATAAAGTAGGAACGCTTGGAAAAATTCTGGAAGATCCCATAAAATCTGCATGAAGAGGCTTTGAAGTAAAGAGGAGCTGAAGAAGAGAGCAGGAGGAGATGAGCCCGACTGTGTCAGCGTCTTAGCCCGCCTGAATCCAAAGCCTAAACCTGAAGCCTCTGATTGGATCTTTTAGGATTTTACTCCTAAACCTTCTCTCCTGTAACACTTTGTTTTCCTTTCAAAAGCCAACCATTTACCCCTGAAGGACAATAAAAGGCTCCATCTTTGCTCCGAACCTGCGGATAACCCTCCAGTAGATGGCGCCAGCCCGCAGCGCTGCACACAAACCACCGCCTTCTGCCTTTTCCCCCTTTTATTTTCTCCTTTCTTGTGATTCATCTATCCCTGACAAAGCCTCACCGCTGCCGCTACACGCCCTGGGCACAACTCTTTGCCTGGCCTCATTAAAAGATCAAGACAAATCTTAGCAACGGTTAATAAATCTTCAGGGCAACGAGCTCTCTTTACTCCGCCATGCGAGTTCATCTGTTATGCTCTTTGGTCCTCTTTTAGAAGTCTGTGGAAATAAATATATTACAGAGAGGCGCAACAAAGAGTCCAGAGCTGTGGTAGAAGGTGGCGTGCTGACGGACGACTCACCGGCCATCTGCTGGATCCCGCTGAAGGCTCCCAGGTTGCCGGAGGAGGCGGCCTGCTGCAGCAGCTAGAGGAGACACACAGAGAGGCAGAGTGAGCTGGGCGAAGGCGGGAAGTCAAGCAAGCATCCGAAGCCGAGACTGAGAAGTGGTTAAGCTTCCCGGCTCAGCGCTCGGTGAGTAAATGAGCTGCTAATATAGTCTGATCGCTCCTCAAAGCCGCCGCCGTTTGCATTCCTGCACGGTTCTCCCCAACAACTTGTGCATGAAGGATCTAATCTCGCTGACTAATTAGATTCCAAAACAAATCAGGAATACTGATGCCGTCAAAAAGGACCCAAATTAACAGCAAATTAACATCTGGATGCCATTGTGGGAATTTCTGTTTGATAACGAGGAGGATGATTCAAAGAGCAGAAAAATCTCTCAAATAAATCAATGTGCTGCTCTCCCTCCAGCGAACCAGAGGTTAGTTTAAAAACTGAAGCAAAATGAGTGAAATGTAGGATGAGGTAGAGGGGAAGAGAGTGAGGTGCGAGGAAAGAAGAAATGAGCCGAGACTGATCAATTAGCCCAAACTCCAGGCGCCCTGAAAGATCCAGCTCCGATCTTCCTGCATCGATCCCAGAAAATCCTAAATAAAACCTAATCAGCCGTTTTGGAAAAAAAAAAATTGGTTCCCTTCCTTTTTTTTTTACTTAATGTTTTCAGTTTTCAGAAACATCCATCAAACAGTCGACGACTGCCAGGAAATCAGGAAGTTTCTATGGAACCTGAAGCTCTGCGGCCTCCCTGGCTCAGGTCGAAAATGGGTCAGAAATGGCAAGAATTGATCCAAAACAAAAAGGTCCGTCTCACATCGAACACAGAGGCAGTGGTGTGATGGTTTGGGTAGAATGTCATGGCCACCAATGTGCCCCTGTGCAAGGCAGTCATCCCCCAGGTGTCCAGCCTGACTGGGCGGCAATGAAAGGGTCAACTAATGGAGGACTCTGGTTCAAGTGTTGCTGCTCTGCCAAAAGTAAGGCTAATTTTATTATTGTTTTCTTTTGGTTTCTCCCACTCTGCAGAATCTGTTAGTTCAATCTCTAACGTTCTGCTCTCTCTGCTTTTTCTCATAGTAGCTTCATCTGGTCTGTTCCTGTTTGGCTGCGACTCCATCCTGGAGAGAAACATCAGCTGTGCTGCTGCCATCAACACCTTTGTTTATAGATGTTGGAGATCGGCCTGTTTTCCAGTGTAGTCCTGTTTCTCTGACTGTAACTAACTGGATGTGCTCTCTTCATCCTCTGACATGGGAGTTGGCTTGGAGCTCGTCTGCCTGGCTGTGTGTTTCCTGGACGGCGCCGCCTTTTACAGCTGCTTTCTGTATCTCTGCTTCTGTCACTTGAACCCCAGTGGCCTCAGCAGATGGCCGCTCACACTGAGCCTGGTTCTGCTGGGGGTTTCTTCCTGTTAAAAGGGAGTTTTTCCTCTCCACTGTCGCTACAAGCATGCTTAGTGTGAGGGATTGCCTTTGAGTCCATGAGTGGATGCAATCAACTGGTTTTCCTTAGATAGAAAACTTTGAATCAAGCTGACTGGATGATCTGGTGAACTGTAAAGTGCCTTGAGATGACATAAACTGAATGGAATTGGTTTTGTTAAAAACCAATTACTCCATTAAGTTTAGTTTCAGATTAAGCTACATGTCGACCTATAAGATGAGAACAGAAGCGCAGGTTAGATCTGGGGCGAAGTCAGTGAAGGGCCCTAAAAGAGCCTTCAGTTTAGCTCCGCCCCCCTATGTCAAACTAAATCATAAATCTGATGTCGCTGATTTAGCTCCATACAATCCGCCCTTTAACTAATTCAGTGGTTCTGCTGAGCTCAGGAAGGAGCTCTTAACAAGTCAAGCACTAATGTCACTAATTAAAAACAGGAGTTTTAATTGATGTCACTGTGCTAATAATTTAACTCTCAGGATTGAAGGAACAAAAAAAAAACCCAGCGTCTCTCAAACTGAGCCGCTCTGAGGCAGGAAGTTCTACTGGATCCTGCAGCTCATGTCGGAGCGTCATTTAATGGATAAACGCAGAGAAACTGCTTCTTTAAAGAGGAACCGAATGATGGAGGATTAAAGAGCCGCTGCCCGGCCCCTCCCCCACTGATGATAAATCAGACCAACTTCCATCATTATTTCTTTAGCCTTTAGTTTATCTCAGACTTCATGTTTTAAGGTAAGAGCTGAAACTGCCTGTAGATCAGGAAGAGAACTGCGGACGGCCACCAGCCGAGGTCATGCTTCAGTCCCATTCTCTGATATTTAAAGGTTCCACGCTCCTCTAACTATTCCAAAAAAGTTCAAAAACAATCCACTGGACTATTGTTGGAAAGTTTGGAAACAAAGTCCCTTTTTAAAGAACCGGGTCTGTTTCTAGTATCCTGTTGGTTTTATATCAGTTTGGGTTTTTCAGACCTGAATAACTTAGGAATCATCATCGGTTCCTGTTCGATTAGGACGCTACGCGTCTACTGGCTGGAACGCAGAGAGGAGGAGGATGAAGGTGAGCAACAGCTCCAGGAATGATGTGAGAAAAAGGAAGAGGAAAGGAGGCAGGGAGGATTCTGGGAAATCTCTCTGGGCGGAGCACTGACTGTGGCTGCGTTGGCCACAGGGCTGCAGTTGGGGGTGATGGAGGCGGGCGACGCGGCGGCGGCGACTCTTACAGCCAGATACTGCGGGGTGAGGCCGCCCAGGCCCGTCAGGCTCCCCCAGGTGGTGGCGCTGTTAAGCTGCTGCATCTGCTGCGCCAGCTGCTGCTGCAGTCGCCGCTGCTCCTTGTCCTTCTGCGTGTCGGCGAACTTCACCACGATGGGAGACGAGCAGCCCTAGAAGAAGAAGAGGAGGAGCAGAGAGAGGAGAGGACGGGTGGAGACAGAGGTGGAGGCAAGAGCAGAGGGATTAAGATTAATATTGTTTGCCAAACAGTTAAAGGCTCACATGGGTGACTCTCACCGAGGATTAGGGACGCTGAAAAAATAAAAAAAGTTAACTGATTTTTAAAATTTTATTTCAGTTTAACATGGTAAAAAAGTCAAAATTCAGACTTTAATCTAAGAATTCTGACTATTTTCTCGGAATTCTGACTTTTTCTCTCATAATTCTGACTTTTTTTCTCATAATCCTGACTTTAATCTTAGAATTCTGACTTTAATCTCAGAAATCTGACTTTTTTTTTCTCAGAATTCTCACTTTTTTCTCAGAATTCTGAATATGGACCTCAAAATTGTGACTTCAATCTCAGAATTCTGACTTAATCTCAGAATTTTGGATCTTATTATAGATGGGCACCATAAGGGTAGAGATGTAAGAGCGCTCAGCTTCAGTGACAAAGATGTGAGTTGTTTGGCAGGGCCAGTAACACATTGGTGGAAAATGATGCAATTTTTGGAAAATGAGGCAACTTTTTATGTGACAGTGGGGTCCCTGGTGATGCTATTTCATTAATGGAAGCGCAGAAGGTGATTAAAACAACAGAGCGAATTTCTAAAACAGACATGGCTACAGCTTGATGCTAACATGTTTGTTAGCTGTCATAAAACTGTCAGATTTCTGAGATTTATATCAGAATTGTGAGAAAAATGTATTCTCATATTATACTGACATAAAATTTTTTGGTTTTTCAGTGGCCCTTATCCGTACAAACCCAACCTATCAAATGTCTGTAAAGATTTTAGGGGCATACTCACAAAGAACTCAAAATCATCCACTTTCATTTGGACAATCATTATTTCTAATATTTGGCACAGATCATTGTTTGTTACCAAAATAAGTTTTTTAATTGTTTTTGGAGTCACAAATTCATAACCGTAATGCATCCTAACGGGGACAAAAAAATGCTTTCATCTCAATTCATCATTATAAATAATCTAGCCGGTTTATAAAAAAATATCATAAATTTGTTCAAATATACATAAATTAATAAAATTAGATGATATATATAATAATTTACTGTTATGTAATTCTGAATATTTTAATAAAAGTGATGCAACTCTTATTACTGTTGTGCTGCGTTCAAAGTCCTGTAATATTCACAGCATTTTTTAAAGTCGTAGGGAAGCGGCCGTTCCAACCGTTGCATTTCCGAATTCTCCCGAGTGGTGCCCGACTTTACACCAGTGAATAAAGTGAATGTGATTGGTCGATTATCAAGAGGGCGGGATTGTTGTGGCAGAAGGTTCACAAGCAAGTTTAGTTGTGGCCGGTTTCTCTGAAGCATCTTGCAAACCAGTTAGCAACTTAGTGCTAGTAGGTTCCCAATGGGAAATTCCATTGGGACCAAGTAGCACTAAATTGGTGACTTAGAAACGACACTGTCAAGGAACGCTATGGACAGAGGAAACATGCAAGAGGAGGAGAGTTTAGTGGAAATTATTCTTATTTCTTAGTTCAACTGTTGCGTATATTAGCTGCAATATATGAATCAAGATGCTATGACTGAAAAAAATTGATTGACAGATGTTGATATATGATTGGCTGAATTTAGGTGTTCAGGCTGATGTATAACTAACTGGCCTGCAGAAGATAACGGGAAAAAAAAACAGATTTTAAGACAGGATTTCTTTTTAAATAGAAATTTTCTAACTTTTGGCACAATATGGTCTAATAAAGAGTACATTTATATGTACATATTTAAGCCAGAATGATTTGACATCTAAATATGACTTCCCTACGACTTTAAATAAAGTAATAATTACCCATGATGCACCGCAAAGAAGAGAAGACAAAAGATGGCTACAAGGTAAGATTGTTTGACTTTTTTTGATCATGATAACTGTTAAGCTTCTCCTTCCATTTGCCTATTTTTACACTACAGGTGATCATTACTGTAACCTATAATACCTCAGATGGTTCTACATCATAAAGGATCCGATCTGCAGAAACATCTTAAAACACGTGAAGTTAACAAAGGAGTCGGAGGCTCTTCCACACACTCAGCCACACAGGACACGCACACAGTCGCTCAGGAAACGCAGCTCTAAAGCCAGCGGGGCTTTCTTCTTCTTCTTCTTCTTCCCCACAAGGGCTCAGTTATCTCTGAGTCCAAAACGCTTTCACCAGACACTGATTTCCTGACTTCTCAAACTATTTCATCATCTTTTAGAAAGTGAGACTCGATGCATGTGTCGGTGTGAAGTAAGTGAGAGTGATTGGGAACAGCAGCAGGAGGGGGGGGCGATAGGGCAAGAGGGAGATTCAGAAACGTGGACAATCACTTGTAATTGTCTAGATTTCTTCTCCTCAAACCTGCTGCTGCTGTTGGAGGCGAAGTCGAGCACACAAAGGGACCAACATATCGGACATGAAGCGCGCCGCGTTCCCTGATGAAAGTTACAGTGAAGCTCAAAGAGATAATCTGTTGCAACACAACCATTCCTCGCGCGGCGCAATCAAAGCCTAACTAGGGGCAAATCCGTCTGAAAACAAAGGCAATCTGCCACGGGAGGATAAAAACCTTTTGATTGAAACATTTAGTTTGAGGCGGGGATCCGCGCTCGGCGGAGGAGGGAAGGGATTTGGCTGCTTTGCAGAAGCCGCCGTGCACGTTCAGAGCGGAGAGGCGCCAAATGTCAAGTGCCTGGGACTCAGGTGGAACCGTTTCTCGCTCTTTGGCTCCGAGATGCAATAGTTCAATCCAACAAAGCTTTCAGTGGGAGACGTCCAGCCTAAAGTCTCAGCCGTGATTCTATAGGTTTTGTTTCCAGATATCCAGACCTAATATGTTTTTTATCCTCGAGTTTTTCAGAGTCATATCAGCCGTCTACGCCAAGCATGGTTCATCCGCCTGCATCCAGGAGCAGGTTGGAAGGTAGACAGACTGCTAAACCAACACTGTTGGTCGTCGGCTAAACTCTTTCTGCACCAAAATAAACCAAAACTTTGGGTTCATTTCTTTATAAAGCTCACATCTATCAACACTGCAAAAAAACCTAAATCTGAATAAGTCATTTTTCCGTGAATTGAGGCGGTAAGTGAGATGTTTTGCCAATGGAACAAAACTATTTGCATTAAAATAAGAGCAAAATATTGCATTATCTCATTCCAAGCGCATATTATGTAATTATCTTATTTTAATAGTAAAAATGTATCTTCTTTACCTGCTCAAATTAAGGGTGAATACACTTGATTTAAGAAATGTTGGTGTATTTCTAGATCGTTTTGCAGTGAACAGACCCGTTCCACTACAAATATCATCCAGGTCATTGTCATTCTGAAAAAGTTAAAAAACAATCCAGTTTGAAGACGTTTCGCTTCCCATCCAGGAAGCTTTTTCAATTCAAAATGTCAGAAATAGCGTTGAGTTCAAGGCTTAATAGAGTGGATAAAAACAAAGCCTTGTTTTTGTTTAGAAAATATGCAAATTGAACCAGACAAATGAGTCCACCCCTTAGGAATGGGGGTCGTTTGGCTTCTTTGTTAGCCTGCAATGCCCCATATCTATCTATGTCTCTGTAAGGGGGGTCGTTAAAGGGAATTGTTGGCCTTGCTGAACAGGCGAGGTCTTCTGTTTCCCTATAAGGTGGTGGGGGATTTGGTTCTTAAAGGGAAAAAATCTACGAAACTGAGACATTTTTTACAGTAATGTGGACATAAAAACAAAGAATGAATAAAATAAAAACTTTAAAAATGTAATAAAAATCTTTGTTTGTGGTGAAACTAAATAAACTGAATGATAATAAAGAATTTCAACTCCTGCGACTTTTTCCTGCTAATTAATGAGGTGGAAGCTGACACAGCAGCAGATCCCTCATCTTCACAGACAAAGAGTCACTCAGGAAACTCAACAGGAAGAGGAAAAAAAGAAGCATAATTACAAAGCAAAGCTGGCTATCATCACTTTCCAACGTGACATCAAAACTGCAGGCTGCCGCCGTTCTGAGCCCAAAAAATGGCACCTTTCTTCTCGGCGCAAAACGAGAACTGATAATTAACATGGCAGGATGCTGGAGAGAAACCTGGCAAAATGTAGCTACTGTCATCTGAATTATGATATCACCATGTTAGAAGTTTAAACTTCATTTTTATATTTTCAGCAAATGATGGAAACTATTTAACAGGAGAGAAAGAAAGTAAAGCCAAGCCAGCTAATACTAACACCCAAATCAATCTGTTGTGACATAAAGGTCACAGAGGAAGCTTGTGAAGCTCCTGGTAACAGAGGAAGCCACTGAAAGGCCAACATCAGGAGTGGCACAGTGGGTCATGCTTTAGGTTCTATGCTGGAATTATTGGCTTCATGAAGATTTCTGCACATCCCACCAAACTATTTCACTGACTTATCAAATTCATGCACCTTATTGCATTTGGCTACAACTAAATATAATCCAATGCATTCAGGAGCGGATTTAGGAAATGTGTGGCCCTAGGCAAAGACGGGCAGGGGGCCCTCTGAATTGAGAAGACAACACATAAAAACAGACCCATTATACAGATAGAGAAATGTTAATGGAATAGACATCCATTATCTGTTCTAGGTTGTGTCCCTCTCTTCTTGTCTCTTTTCTTCTTGTTTTCCTCTCTATGTTTTGTACTCAGCTGACTTTTCATGCTGTCTCTAAAGGAAGGAAAGATTTTTTCCAAGCACTAAGCTCACTTAGCTGATTGCTCCTTCCTGTGTTTCCAAAAAGGCGATGGCAAAAGTAAATAACCCAGTCCTTCTCTTCAATAAAGAGATAAACTAAAGGGTTAAACTAGAGATATAAAAAATAGAGATAAACTATAAAGATAAGCTAAAGAGATAAACAATAGAGTTAAAATATGGAGATAAACTAAAGTTAAACACTAAAGAGATAAGCTAGAGAGATACACTAGAGATAAAATATAGAGA